ACAGAACAGACTCCCAAGATTTCCTCTAACCTCCACAAGTGTACAATGGGACACACATACCTGTACACACACACATTCATCCTCTCTATATATACACACACCACCACCACCACCCTAAATAAATACATTTAAGGTAGAATTCAGCAGCAAATCAGTCTGAGCTGGGGGTTTCCTTAGTTGGGAGTTTTTACTATTCTATTATTATTAATAATACTTCTTCAATCCCATTGCTTTTCCCTCTCTATTTAAGTTCTTTCTCTGATTTTCTGAACTTCATTGTTCTGTTATGATGCCTCCTTTTTAATCTCTAATTTTATGTATTTAGGTCTTTATTTCCTTGGTAAATGTGCTAAGGGTTTGCTAATCTTCAAAGAAACAATTCTTTTATTAATCATTTATATTGTTTCATTTCTAGTTCATCAATTTCTTCTACCTTGATCGTATTATTTATTTTTACCTACTGATTTTGGATTTGGCTTGTTCTTGTTTTTCCAAGGCCTACAGTTAGTCACTGAATTATTTATCTCAGCTCTGATTTTTCAATGCAAATGCTTATATAAAGCTCCTCTTTTTAAATAAAGTAGCATTTAGTTATTATTAGTGTAGGGATGTGCATGTGCTACAGTGTGGCACTGAGGACAGCCTGCTAGGAGTAAAACCTTTACTGAATAGGTTTTCAAGTCATTTCTCCTGTACCTCTTTTTTTCCCCATCTGTTTTGATTATATGTTCATTTGATCTTTTAATGGTTGATTTTGTTTTGGGGCTTGCTTTTTCTTTTTTGTAGTGGTCTGAATACGAATGGCTCGCATAGGCTCATATATTTGAATGCTTAATCATCAGGGAATGGCACTATTTGTGAAGAATTAAGTGTGGCCTTGTTGGAGGCAGTGTGTCACTGGGATGATATTTGAGGTTTCAGAAGCCCAAGCCAGGCCCAGTGTTATTTTTCTCTGCCTGCAGATCAGGATGTGGTTCTCAACTACTTCTCCTGCACCATCTCTGCCAAGCCTGCCACCATGCTCCCCACCATGATGATAATGGACTAGGCCTCTGAAACTGAAAGCCAGCACCCAGTAAATGCTTCCTTTTCTAAGTGTTGCCTTAGTAGGTGTTTCTTCACTCAACAGTGACTAAGACATTTTTGTTTGTTTTGTGTTTTTGAAACAAGGTCTTCCTATGTAGCCCTGGCTGGCCCAAAGCTTGCTAGATAAAGCAGGATGGCCACTAGCACACAGAGACCAGCCTACCTCTGCTTCCCAAGTGCTGGGATTAATGGTGAGTGCTGCCACACCCAGCTTAATTGTTGCTTTTGTATGTTGTTTCTTCTTTTTGTTTTTTATTAGATTTCTGAATGTAGTTACATATCAGCCTTGGCTTCAAGTCCCTGGCAGTCTCTTTTTTGCTTGATCTAGTGTATCTTCTGATGTTTTCTGCCACATTCTTGGATGACTTACTGGTGTTTCCTTTCCAAGTGTCCAGTTTGTCTCTTTCAGAATCTCCACCTCCTTACTGAAATACTCTTATGTCCAACATTGTCATCTGCAATTTATTCAGCTATGTATTTCAGTCTCTTTGACTTTACAGACCATTTTAGAAATTGTTCTTTGTCATTTCATCATCTAGATATCTTTAGAGCTGGTCACTGGAGAATCATGAGTGTTGGAAGAGTCCTGTTACCCAGTGTTCTCATGTATCTCCTGTTTCTGTGTCAACATTTGTTCATCTGTTGGAATGGATATTTGTTCCACTATTCTACATGGGCCTTCTAAGTGAGCAGCCTATTCTTTATTTTAACAATAGTTTGTATTCTTTCAAAGTTCCACACATATTTTCCAGTATATACTGACCATATTCACCATCACTCCTTATGTCCAGCTCCACATGTGCCCCACACATAACCCCATCTGTACTCCTCTACAGGCATGAACAAACCCCGAGGCCCTGCCTACAGAGAGTGACTCTCCCTCCCTCCTTTTCCTGTGGGACCCGGCACTCCCCCATCCATGCTTAACCTTGTGCAGGCCACCACAATGAGCAGTATGCTCTTGACAGAGTTTGGAATCTTGGTTTGTTGCACATCTTTTGCTTGAACCCCTATCGAACTTGAGTTTCATATTCCTTGGCTCTTGGGCTATGATGAACACAGTATATATTCCCTTCTTGGTCAGTCTCACAAGAGCACTGTCATTCTGGTAGTCTAAAAAGCACGATGCCAGAGGCAGAAAATATGCCATGTGGACTCCTCTGGACTTGCCTACAGTGAATGAACTAACAAGATACGAGCTTTGACAGGTTCAGGCTCAGAGTCTTCGTCCTGCTAATCCCTGCTACGATATAAATGTGTTGGGGTGGACTTTTAGCCTTCCTCTACCTACACATCCTTGGGTTATGTTGACTGGGGCTTTTATCTTCCCTATTCTTTAAAAGTTAAAGAATCCACCTATGTATGAGTATGGCTAGTCTTCTGTTTTCCTCAGGGAACACAGTCTGGTCATTTATACGGCATATATAGCACTGGCCGTCAGAAGGGTCCAGGACAGGCACAGGACGCTTGCCCCCATGAGTACCTCTGCCAGCTGCCCTTGGTACCCCCCACCCCCGGGCACAGCTCTCTGCCAGCTGCACTGGTCCCCCCTGGGCACAGCTCTATGCCTGAGACTCTCTCAGCTGGCCTTGTTACGGAATTTGCTCTCAATGCTGTCCAGCCATTTTCCCTGAGACCTGGTCAAAATGAGCACCATCCCATCCATCTTTTCTAGCTTGAAACCTCACCTAACCCCTGCGTGACCCTCACGATCTTCATCAGTTTCAGAATGGTCACCACAAGGTCTAGGCTGGGCTTAGTAGCACAAACCCATAATCCCAGCACTCCAAAGGCAGAGGCAGGCCTAACTCTGTGAATTCAAGGCCAGCCTGGTCTACAAACCGAGTTCCAGAATACCTAGAGTTTTGTAGAGAGACCCTGTCTCATAAGAGAAAGAGAGAAAGAGAGAGAAAGAAAGAAGAGGAAAAGGAAGAAGAAGAGGAAGCGGAAGGGAGGGAGGGAGGGAGGGAAGGAGGAAGGAAGGAAGGAAGGAAGGAAGGAAGGAAAGGAGGGAGGGAGGGAGGAAGACAAACCCTACAAGAGATCTGGCCATAACCATGTGTGAGTCTCTCAAGGTCTCCCTAGCTCGAGATTTGGCTATACTGCTGCATGAGCCCAAGGTCTTTCTCTGCTCGAGAACTGGCCATAGCCCTGAGTGACCCCCCTCCAAGGTGTTTCTCCATTGCCCTGAGAGTGGTAACACAGGGATCCTCACCCCATTCTGGGCGCTCCCACTGCTTCCCAGGAGAAAAGCTGTGACTGCGTGTAGGGTCTCCTCACGGGGAGGTGCAGTCTACTTAGAAGGACCGCAGTTGATGGGAGCCTTGTGATGGAGAAGGGCTCTGTCTCGTGTTCACTAAATTAACCGGCGTGAATCAGAACTCAACAGTGAACTTCATGAGGCCAGAATGTGCTCATGTGGACAGTGATAAGACATCCGAGTGCCTCCGACCTTGTAGGTGTGTGCTGTCTGAAGCTGCCACTCTTAGAAGGAGGTGGCAACAGGAAGAGCGCGGTAGAGCAGCTACATTTGACAATGCGAGTTAACAGGCAGGACAACATGAGAATACACACCACGCATGTGCACACGGCTGATTTGCACAAAGCTTCCATTGTTTATGGGACACGAGATGAAAAGAATATTTTAACAAAGTGCTGGCGCTGCGCAGCTGTACCCATTCGTAATGCTCCATTAATGTCTCATGCAAAGAGAAACTGTACTGTTTGTTTGGTTTACCAAGGTCAGCACACTGAGAAGCAATTGTCATCACCACCACAGACCTCCTTACATATCCCACTGTTCTGAGCCATGCAGATGAGCCATTGGGATGCAGGTTGTCCGTCATTAAAGCCTTTGAGAACAGCTTTGTCACTGGTTTAGCTGCAACTTTAGTTCTCCCAGACAGAGCTCTGTACCCCAGAAAGGGAAGGTACGGTGGCTCTGCTTGCCATCTTCGGGGACCCCAGGACCTGGGAGCTGGAAGAAGCCAACCTTGAGTTCAAACTAAGGGATGTGCCAGGTCAAGAGCCAGCACAGCCCCTGATAGAAAGGGCATGTCAGAAGGAGGAAGTGTGTGGTGGATGGAAGGAGAGAGTGGAGGAAAAACTGGTCCTCAGAATTCCCAGCAGACATCACAGATAAGACAGCTCTGGGCTCTGGAGACAAGCGCCACAGAATTCTTCATCTCTCTCATCAGACTCCACTCCTTACCTGCAGCCAGCCCACCCTGGAGGGCTCTGCTCCTGCAGGAGGAATGAGGGGACCAGTCTCTGGTCCTCCCCCTCATAGAACCCCAGGTAGCACAAGTGAATGTGCAGGGCCACCCAGGGTCTCAGAGAAACTTGCATGAGGTGTCTTCACGCAGGACAAGCGAGTCCTTGGCTGGCGACATGGGGAGCCTTAGTCAGAGGCTGGCAAGTGCTTCTCTTCACTGTGTGCTGAGCTGCGCTCTGGGGTGCTCCGGTGGGATGCGAGGCTGGAGCTTCCCAGCCTGGGCCACTCAGATGGTGTCACCAGCCACGCTGGAGACAAAGCGCTGCTTCCTACAAACGAAGCATGTGATCCTCTTCCTTCTTTTGCCCCCATGGAGCTGAGTTGTTCCTGAGCATGGACACTGTCTTACCCTCCACAAGGGTGACTCCAATGACAGGGAGGGCAGGGTGCCTGGGGTGCCTGGGGAAATTGTGGGCTCCACCCACACAGCTGCCCCATGGGTAACACCTTTCCCACTTTCCATATGAGAAACTCAAGGCCCAGAGGGCTTCCTTCAGCACACACTGGAAAGACCAGCACTCCACACTGGGCCCTATCTCTAGAGTAGACTGGGGCCATCCCTCACAAATGTCTCTTCACAGAGAGGTGGGTGAAAAATCAAGTAATGCTGTAAAACTATTGGATTTTTTCCCCCTATCAGTTTCAGATTCTAGACAACTGCCAAGTTATAAAGCTCTGGATGATGATATAGCTACAGTGTTCGGTAAGGACTTCCCAGGCGGAACCCCTGGTCCTTGGTGAGGGATGGGGAGGGCACTCACCAAGGTCTTTCCCAGAAAATAAGGTGTCAGACACAGGCACTGGAGAAACTGATTTGGTCTGAGGTCAGAACCACGTTCATCTGGCTCACAGCTTTAGTGTGGACTAAATTACGGAAGTCATAGAATAATTGTCAGAATCAAAATACACTTGGAGCTTTGTCTCTCAAAGTGTGTCCAGAGACCAATAATAAGTTTGTTACCTGGGGATTTGTTTCAAATACCCCATATTAACCCCTGCTCAGGCCTTCCACATCAGAAGCCACATTTAGCTGAATACATTGACGTAATGTGTGTGCAAGTGAGAGGCCTGAGGAGAGCTCCTCAGCCTCGGAAGCAGGCAGGACAGTCCAGAGGGAGGTAGGGAGGACATGGCCTCTCCCCAGGGTTTCAGCCTCTGGGGCCTTGTCTGGACCTGGTACCTCAGGGTTTCCTACAACTCTCCAGCAAGGGCTTGGGGCTAAGCAGGGTGAGGACCATTGGTCTGTCCATCAAAGGCAGAGTACAAACTGTAGCTGTGGGGCTAAGTTCTTTGGTAGCCATATTCCAAACCATCATGGTCCACCTGGTAGAAAAGCCCAGCATGTCAGCAACGTAAAGTGGCGGATGCAGCAGCCAGTCTTCCTCACAGTCTGCAAAGTCTGTTGTGTACTTCCCACCCAGAGGCTAACTGTCTTGACCAGCTGTCTTTCCTTCTGCGTCCATGTGCCCCGGTCTGTCCTGGGAACTATGCTCACTGCCCAGTAGCACCCCTCATCTCACACTTGGTAGAGCGAGTCCTGGAGAAGACATCTAAGCAGAGTCTGACTTGCATCTTAAGAGTTTGGAACACTGTGGGAAAGGTGTAACCTCCTGGGCATCTCTCTGCCCACAGTCACCGGTCAAATCGGGTCAGGAGTAGACTTAAGGGCACACAGGATGTGACTATGAAGCTGCTCTCAGAGCTGAGTCTCTGAGGAAGGTTCTGATGGTCCCAGGAAGGACCTCTTCCAGGGAAGTTAGCTCTGCAAGTTTCAGAGTCTGTGCTGGGGTTATCATCACCAACTGTCTGATCACAGGAAGGAGTGAATGAATGGTCCCAGTTTACCTATGCTGCCCTGACTAGCCTCTTTTTTTTTATTTTCTTTTTTCTTATCAGTTACCTTTTATTAGCTCTGTATCCCAGCTGTGTCCCGATCCCTCATTCCCTCCCAGTCCCTCCCTCCCTCTGACCAGCCTCTTAAACCACTCCTGTGTCACATACAGGAGACCTAGTTCCCACCCCACAGGTGGCCTCATTGGACACAAATAGAGCTTGTGTGTGGACCACACACAAGCTCTATTAGCTTCCCAGTGGTGTCCCAGGTCAGGATGGCCATCATGCTGCAGAGACAGAGGCAATGGCCAGCTGGGGCTTACTGAGCTCCCCTCATGATCACCACACAATGCTGGGTGCTGTAGGCTCAGATGCAAGCACTCTATTTTACTCTGAGGGTCAGAGACATGAGGAAATTCATCCCTGTTCTAGCCAAGTGAGAAAAGAACCAGAATGAGAGCTGGAATTGGCTGGCTACAAAGTCCAGGACTCAGGTGACTTCCTTGGAGGGGACGTAAAAGAAGAAAGGCTGGCTGGGTGCGGCAGCCTTTATCCCAGCTCTCAGTGGCAGAGGCAGGCAGACCTCTTGGATCAAGGCAGGACTGGTCTACATAGTGAGTTCCAGGCCATCCCAAGTTATACTACACATTAAGACCCTGTCACAAAAGAAAAGCTGAACATGTTTAGAAAACAGGAAAGTTGTTCTGTCAATATTTGATGGCAGAGTCAGGACAGAATGACAGTAGGGCAGGAAAGTGAGTTGGGATCAGGGCTGGGGCTAGGTTTCGGCATCGTGCCCTTGAAGGGTGTACTAGCTTCCCCTCACTATGACAAAATGCCAGAACTCACCACTTAAAAGACCGAGGACTTATCTGGTTTGGTTCTGGAGTTTCCAACCCTTGCTTGGTTGGCTCTGCTGCTTGGAGCAACTGGGCCACCCATCATGCTGTGAGTGTGGTGGGATAAAACATTTACTTCATGGCCCAGGAGCTAAGAGACAAAGGGAGACCAGGATCTCACAGCCTCTCGAGACCTCCACTGGGCCCCATCTCTTAAAGATGGTCCATCACCTCCCAGTAGGGCCACTGAGTAATCAGGCCTTTGGACACATGAGCATCAAGGGATTTCAGGGGTGCTCAGGAGAAACTCAGATAACCTCCATCTTTCTGAACTCAGGGATGCAGCAGAATGGGCAGCCTCCCCAGATAAAGTATCCAGTTACGGCCACTGTCCACAAGTTCCTTGAGTTTCCTAGTCACAGTACTGACAGGCCGCCTTAAGTTCAGATTCTTCACAGAACACCTGCCCTGCATCATGCCTCTAACATTCTCTTGTGTGTTTTTTCCAAGATGAAATTCTAGTCCGGGAGATTTTGGATCCAGAAAAAACAACATATTTTGAATATGAAAACCCATCAACAACCTTACAACCCCAAACAATAACGAATAAAAGCAAGTATATCCCTTCACCCTTACAACTGCAAATATCTTTAGACCTGTGGCACTAGGTAAAGGACCCTACTCACGAGCAATTGCTAGACCAGCCATAGGTTGGCAGGAACAAGTAGACACGAGAGAGAAACCATGTAGGCCACTGTTACAGTCTTCCTGATGTGGAGGGCATCACCTCCAAGGTAGAGGAGGCTTTCTTCATTCTGGGGCAATCTCTGGGTCACATTCATCCATGTTCTTAGACCTGGGATACGAATGGGGTTCAGCCACTGCAGGAACACAGGCTTCAGGATGAAACAGATCACTGGCACATGCCATCTCCTGTGCTCACCCACAGCTTTGAAGGGAAGGCCGCCTGTCATACCATGTGGCTGAGGCACAGCGTATGAGGTGCCCAAGGTGAAGGAGAGCGGGAGACAGATGAAGCACATACTTTTCACAGCCCAGCTACACACTTCGAGACTGTACAAGCAGATGGGCCAGCACAGGGCACGAAGGAGGATGTGGCCAGATGGTGACAGAGAGAGGCTCTGGGGGAAAAGAGGCTCTGGGGGAAAAGCACTCAGAGGCAACAGGGCTCAACGCTTCAGATGTGACTAGATTTCAGGGTTTGTTTATCCTATAGCTGCCTAGTCCCAAACCACCAGGCTCTAGGTGGCTAGAGAGGCAGCTCAGCAGCTAAGAGCACCTGCTGCCCTTCCAGGGGTCCTGAGTTCAATTCCTAGCAACCACACGGTGGCTCATAACCATCTATAATGCGATCTGATGCCCTCTTCTGGCACGCAGCTGTACCTGCAGATAAAGTACTCATATCCATAAGTAAGTAAATAAATAAAACTTTAAAAATGAACTTTCCAACACCCAGCTTCAACTAGAACTTGAACACTGTGCCATCCTTCTAGCCCAGTGTTGTAAAACAGGACTTGAGCCAAAAATGTTGACAAGCATGTAAGAGGAAAATGCTTTCCTGTTTCTTTTATGTTCATCAAAGATGCCGACAAGAATGAATCCAGTGCTGCTAACAACTATGAGATGATGGAATCATCTTCTGGGACCATAAAAACCCTTACCTTTGATGGTAAATATAACAATCCCTACCCAGGCTCTGAACCTAACTGGGGCTCCCCAGCTAGGCAGGCGCAGCTGGACGCTTCTACTTAGGGGAGGGCAGTGCTTCTGCTAGAGCTGGTTCAGCTGGTCAGGATGTTTCAGGGGGCTAGTCCTCACCGAAGCTAAGTATCCTACAACTGCCTCTAGCTACCCCTGTACAACCCAGGGTGGCCCTGAAGAAGTCTACAAGAAGTTAGTAGGGAGGAACACAGCTGAGTCCTCTTCCAGACTCCCACGTGAGTCACTGCTCCCGGAATAGAAAGGCTAGCTGAGCAGACAGATAAGTGTGGACACATGAGAGAAGCATGTCCCCGGGGTGGGGCAGAAATCGGGGGGAAAAAAAAAGCCTCCCTCCATCAGATGAGTTAGCCTCCACTGACATCCACGAGACACACAGCTCTCTGCTCAAAAGACCCGATACAATGAAGGGCATGTGGAGCACAGGACACACAGACACAATAACTGCAGAGTAACTCGTGTGGGACCAGGCTGTGTCTTCGGGGACAGGAGTGGGGATGTATTAATACATTGGTATAAAAGCGCTATGTGAGACTGGGGACATTCATTTCAATCCTGCACGGCTTCCCCAGCTGCTGAAGCTTGCAGTGAGTAAAAATAATGGCACTGTGCTTCATGGCATAGAGAGCACAGTTCTATTTAACCCGACTGTCCTAAGCCAAGGTTGTCCCACTCATCAGTTCACGGGTTCTAGAGAAATGGGTGAGGATCCTTTTCCTACCTGCCTACAGTCAGGGAGCGTACAGGGAAATCCAAACTGAAGGGGCCGTCCTTTGCATAGTTGCAGGCAAGAGTAGACTGAGTCAGAGAGTAGTCTCATAGGTGAGAGGTCCTGAAGTGCTATCGGGGGTGGAGGGGATCCTGAGCTGCTCAAATAAACACAGGGCTGGAGAAATGACTCAGCCATCGAAAGCAATTGCTGCTCTTGGAGAGTCCCCAAGTTAAAGTCCCAGCACCCATGTCAAGCAACTCACAAGTAATGCCGCCTTCTGGCCTGCACGGGCACCTGCATACAGATCACACACACACACACACACATACACACACACGAAAAAAATTTCAAAACAAAAAGCACACACTCAGGAGTGACAGCTGGCACTTCACAGGCTTTCTGGTAGATCTGGAGGATGTGACGCAGGGTCTCACGTTGCTTTGACCTGGAGAGCTGACAAGAACTGCTTTGGTGCTCTGTCATGTCAGGGTGCATTCTTTCAGCACAAGGCTCATTCTGATGACTGTGAAGTCCTCACTTTTGCTCTTGATCTCTGGCCAGTCCCTATTTCAGCTCCTTAGTGCACAGAGATGAGTTGTGGCCAGGATGCTTCTCTCCATGATCACATCATGGACTATCCACAAAGTCCAAGCCTAGAGCAGAAGTGGGAGTCAGTGTATCGAGGCACAGTGTAGCAGGCCATTTTAGCCTCAGCACACAGGAGCCCCTTCCAGGGAAAGGAAGTTCCGGGGGAAAACATTTAACCAGGTGGGTGAGCAAGGCTGTGAGCACTACTGGACGTGGAGGCTTACCGTGTGTGGAACAGGCAAGGGAGTCGGGCTGACCTACTAGCCAGGCACCTTTGCTTGGACAGAGAGCTCATGGCCCCTTGGTGTCTGGCAGATATCAGAGCTGCAGCCCCTTCCCAGAGCTGTCTTGGATACAACAGGTGTGTGCTGTGCTGAATAAAAGCACCCACCCTTCTTCCACACATGCTCATGACTGCCAGAAGACAGCTACACTTGTCGGTCTCTGGCACATAACAGGCGCCCCACTCATGGCCCTCTCTGGGTGTGCACCAGGCAGCCAGGAGTGTTGGTGACAGTGCAGTGTGTGGGGTGTGTGCCAGCCAGCTGCAGAACGCTTGTTTTCAAGCACGGTCCGGTGGAAGTGCTGACGGCTGCATGCAGGTGGAGCAGGTGGGGAGCCAGCAACTCTGGCTGCTGCAGGGGTACATGGAACAGGCTCACTGCTCTCCTGGCGGCCATGGGGCAGCGGGCTATAAAGAAATCCACACAACATGCTCGCCCTATACTTTGAGACCCAGATGGCCTGGTCCAAATCACCTGCAGTTAAACAATATTTGTGGAATCTATTCATTGTCCTTAACTTTTCCATAGATAAGGAGAAAGAAAGACTTTATCAGCTAAAAAGCCTTGAAGCTCTGGAGAGAGTGATTGACACTATTCGAAGAGCTATAGGTAAGCAAAAGCTACGGCATCCTCCCATGGGCTGGGTTCCTGGCCCAGATAAGCAGAGAGCACCAGTGAGACTCAGCAGGGAACGGAGCCTGCTGACAAGCCTGCCTTCCATCCCTGTTACACACGCAGGCATGCATGCACTCACACGCACACACGCAGAGATGGACGGCAATTGTTTAAAAGGAGAAAGTGAGCTGGGCACAAGCACTGGTGTTTCTCTGCTTCCGGGCTGTGCATGCAGTCCTACCAGCTGTGTCCCATTCCTGCCGCCATGATTGTCCACCTGTGTGCCTATAGGGCACCTGATGTCACCAGAAGCCATCAGATGCCTCCAGAATCCCAAACAGGACAGAGAGGAGTCAGTGCCACTGATATGAGACTACAAGAATCTGACCCAGGCTGTGGCGACAGCCTGACTAAGCGCTGTACTAAGAGCATCTCTTTCCTAACAGGAATTCATTTCAAGAAAAAACAGAAGTATCAGAAAAGCAGGAGAACCAGACAACTCCTGGGGAGACTAATCTAGCTCTAAGTACCAGGCCTGGCTAGGGGCAAGCCGCTGCCCGCACCTGGGGACAGAGCAGAGTGGGTGCACCACCACCCTGTGTGAAGGAGGACTGTACTCAGTGAGCACAAAATAAAATTAGCTATTTAAATATTAAGTTATGAGAAGTGGCTTTTTTAATTATTTTTATTTTATGTACATTGGTGTTTTAACTGCATGTCTGAATACGTGAGAGTATTGGATTCCCTGGAACAGGATTTACAGACAGTTGTGAGCTGCCATGTGGGTGCTGGGAATTGAACCACTAGAAGATCAGTGCTCTTAACTGCTGAGCCATCTCTCCAGCCCCCTTATTTATATTTTAATTATATTTTATTATTCAAAATGGGGATGGGGGACCACCTGGGACTGAGAAACAACAGTGATTCTTTGAATTGAAGCCAGGTGCAGAGAGCTCTTGAAGGGTGGGGTGAACTGTTGTGAGAAACAACCAACTGTAAACTATAGAGCAAAAGGTATAAAAATCCTGTGCTTTGCATGTTCGGGGTCATCTCCTGTCTTTGGAGGGGCGACCCTATCACGATAGCAATAAAACCTCTTGCTTTTGCATCGAGCTGTGGTCTGTGAGAGTTCCTGGGAAGGGCGTGATCCTGAGCAGTGAGACTCCAGGTCTTACAGGGACAGGACTGCAATTGGACGGCATGGAGAGGGTGGAACCCTAGGACAGTGAGAGCTTCCTGAAATCTACCAGGGTGACCATATTGAGGGCCCTCAGGAACAGAAGATACAGAGCCTGAACCACCCTCTCTGTAACCAGGTAGGCTGGCTAGTCTTAGGTCAATTTGACACACAAACTAGAGTCATCTGAAAGGAGATAACCTCAGTTGAGAAAATTCCTTTATAAGAGCCAGCTGTAAAGCATTTTCTTAATTAGTGACTGATGGGGGAGGGTCCAGCCTATTTTGAGTTGCCACCCCTGGACTAATGTCCTGGGTTCTATAAGAAAGCAGGCTGATCAAGCCTTGGGGAGCAAGCCAGTAAGCAGCACCCTCCATGGCCTCTGCATCAGCTCCTGCCTCCAAGTTCCTGCCCTGTTTTTGAGTTCCTGTCCTGATTTCCTTCAGTGATGAACAGTGCTGTGAAAGTGTAAGCACAAATAAACCCTTTCCACCCCAACTTGCTTTTTGGTCATGGTGTTTCACCATAGAAACAGAAACCCTGACTAAGATACCACGCAAGGTTTCCAATGATGGGACTGGAACACCAACCCAGCCATGAAACCTCAATCTATAATCTGTTCTGCCTATAAGATGTGCTGGGGGCAACAGTGGCCCAGAACTTGTGGGAGTGGACAACCAGTGACTGATCGAATGTGAGGCTCATGCTCGTGCTTGTCAGTGTCTGAATGACCAGGAGGATAGGCCAAAATAGGGAGGGAGGGAGGGAGGAAGGAGGGAGGGAGGGAAGGAGGGAGGGAAGGAAGAAGGGAAGGAAGGAAGGAAGAAGGGAAGGAAGGAAGAAGGGAAGGAAGGAAGGAAAAGGGAAGGAACGAAAAAAGGAAGGAAGGAAAAAGGAAAGGGAAGGAAGAAGAAGGGGAAGGAAGAGGAAGGAGGGAAGGAAGGGGAAGGAGGGAAGGAAGGGGAGGGAGGGAGGAAGGAGGGAAGGAAGGGGAGGGAGGAAGGAAGGAAGGAAGGGGAGGGAGGGAAGGAGGGAAGGAAGAGGAGGGAGGGAGGGAGGAAGGAAGGAAGGAAGGAAGGAAGGAAGGAAGGAAGGAAGGAAGGAAGGAAGGAACTTAATAAAATGATTTTTAATGATATTCTGCTATACTCATAGATTGGTGACTAGTCCAGTCATCTTCAGAGAGGCTGTAGAGACCCACAGACAAATACTAGGCAGAGAGGGAGCCCAGACGGAAGGTCTACATTCAGTCCCTCTCCTTGGGGCTCAGTGAACTCCGAAGAAGATAGGAAGGAGGAACCGTGGGAGGCAGAGGGTTTGAGGACAACAGGACAGCATGGACTCAACTAAGCAGTGTGCATGAGGGCCCAGAGAGACTAAAGAGGCAATTGCAGAGCATGCACGGGTCTGTGTGCTAGGCCCTCTGCATGTTATAGTTGTGAGCTTGGTGTTTTGGGGGGCACTCCTAACTGAGAGTGGGGATGTCTCTATATAGGGTAGGGGGAGCTGGGGAGGAACTGGGAGGAGTAGAGGGAATGGAAGCTATAGGCAGGATGTATTATATGAGGGAAGAACAAATTTTTAAAAATTTAAATATATTGTAATCATATTCTTCCCCTGCCACATCCTTCCATATCCTCTCCTCCACCGTATCCCCTACCTTTAAATTATTTCTCAAAAATCCAAAAACCCAACACAACAGCCCCCAAACGCAGAAAACAAAAATACCAAAAAAACAAAACAAGCCACCAAACTGTAACCAAATAAAAGCATTTGCACACGTGCACACACGCACGCACGCGCACACACACACAAACCCACCTGGGAAGTCTATCATTTGTTGGTCGTGAAGGACCTAGTGCTGACCGATGCTGCTACTTCAGTCTCTGAGAGTTCAAATGAGCTTTGCTCACGTTGATTTAGTTTCCTTGGTGTACTCCACCCTCTCTGGCTCTTACATTCTTTTCCCATCCTTTCTGTAGCTCTGAGGGCAAGGATTTGACGGAGACTTGCTAATCAGGGTTGAGTGTTCTAAGGTTTCTCACTTGGTGTAGCTGTCTGACCATGGGTCTCCAAATTTGTTACGATTTGCTGCAGGAGGAAGTTTCACTGATGACAGAACAAGGTACTGATCCTTTCCTACGGCAGAATACCATTAGGAGTCATTTTATCACTACATTTTTGTTATTGTTGATGATGGTTTTTAGAGACAGTTTTGCTGTGTAGCTCTGGCTGTCCCAGATTTTGTAGACCCAGGCTGGCCTCGAACTCACAGAGATCCGCCTGCCTTTGCCTTCCTGAGTGCTGGGGTTAAACATGTGCGACACCATGCCCAGCTGATCACTACACTTTTTAAAGATGAGTATTATTTGATTTGTCCTAGGACCATGGGTTATCTAGTCCCAGGTTCTTGTCACCCAAGCAGTGCTGGGCACAGGTTCCATCCAGTGGCGTGGTCTGGTGTCAGATAAGTCACTGGATGTTCACACCCACAAGCTTTGTGCCATCACTACCCTAGCGGGTGGTACACCTTATAGATAAAGATTTTGTGGCTGGCTTGGTGTTTACATTTCTCTTTTGAAAGCATGCATAGTACCTTCCTGTACCAAAGACGCTGGAACATTGGCGTGTAGGCTCTATGTAGGCTGCAGCTGAACGTCTCCACCTTCTTCAGCAATGGGGTCTTGCTGATTATGGAGAGCAAATTACTGTCTTTGCAATAGCCTGGGTGGTTTGGGGAATCTTGTGGGGCCCCTTTGGCTGTCAACGCAAAACCCAATCCCAGTACTGGAAGCTTCATTTGGTGATCAGAGATGAACAACTGGGGCCATCTCTCCCATTGTTTGGCAATTTCATTTAGATCACCTTCATAGATGTATGTACTTTAAGAGGGTTCTACTACATTGGGTTTCCATACGAACCCATGAATGCCCCTTAATTTTGGCTCTCCCCATATTTCCTCCCACTTCCCCTTCTCCTCTCCCCATATTTCCTCCCACTTCCCCATCTCCCCTCCCCACTTGCCACATACCTCCTAATCCACCCATAAATATCTATTCTGTTGCCCTAATGAGATGTGTCTGTTCCCTCTAGTCCCTTACTCCGTATGTACCTTCTGTGGTGCTATGGGTTGTAGCACATATAAGTGAATACATATTTGTATTTCTGGGTCTGGGCTATCTCAGTTGGGATGATCTTTCCTAGTTCCACCCATTTGTATGCAAGTTCATGATGACTTTTTTAAACAGCTGAGTAAATTGTGTAAATTTACCACATTTCTTTTATCCAGTCTTCTGCTGAAGAGCAACTAGACTGTTTCCAATTTCTGGAGACTATGAATGGAGCCACAATGAACATGGCTGAGAAAATGCTTCTGTAGGATGAAATATCCTCTGAGTGTGCCCAGGAGTGGTACAGCTGATCCTGAGGCTGATCCATGCTCAGCCTCTTGAGAACCCGTCACACTGCTTTCCACAGAGGGTGGACAAGTCTGCCCTTCTACCAGGGATGTCTGAGTGTTCTCATCAGCACAGGCTGTCACTTCTTTTATTGATTGTAGCATTCTAACAGGTGTAAGATGAAATCTCAAAGTAGTTTTAATCTGCATGTGCTGGTAGCTAAGGATGTTGAACATTTCCTGAGGTGTCTTTCAGCCATTTAGGTTTTCTCTCTTGAGAATTCTGTTTAGATATGTGCCCAATTTTTCAATTGGGTTATTGGTTTTCTTGATATTTAGTTTCTTTAGTTCTTTATATATTATGAGCACTAGCCCTCTATTAGATGTATAGTTAGTAAAAAAATATTTTACCATTGATTTGCCTAAATGATGGTGCCCTCGATTGTGCAGAAGCTTCTCGGTTTCCTGGGGTCTCATTTACTAAGAGTTGATCTTAGTGCCTGTACCAATAATAGCATTCTGTTCAGAAAGTCTTTTCCTGTGCCAACAAGTTCAAGGTCATTCCCCACTTTCTCTTCTATCAGGGTCAATGTATTTTGTTTACTGTCAAGGTTTTTGATCCACTGGAGTTGAGTTTTGTGCAGAGTGATAAGTATGGACCTATTTGGACTTCTATATGTGGACATTCAGCTTGACCAGCACCATTTGTTGAAGATACTACCCTTTTTCCCGTGTGTATTTCTAGTCTCTTTATCAAAACAAGTTTCCATTGGTGTGTGGATTTATATCTGGATCTTCAACTCAATTCCACTGATAAACATGTCTGGTTTTGTGCAGATACCAGTTGGCCCCCAGACACAACTGACACCATGCTGGCAGTGCCATTAAGGCTATAAAAGTCAGCATGTAGACAGCACTATCAGCCAAAATGAAAACAATGGGCTTA